AAGGCCCATTTCAATCCTGTATTTTTTTTTTCTTTTTCTTCTTTTGTATTTTATGTATTTCATTATTATTATTATTATGTATATCTTTGTGTATTTATTTTTATTTAGATTAGATTTATATGTATTGTATGTATATAGTTATATATTTATTATTATTATTATCTTTTTTTTTTTTTTGTAATATATTTTTGGGTTTTATCTTATGTTATTTTTTTTATTATTATCTGTTAATTTATCTGATTTTCCGAATTATCTGATATTATTTTTTTTATACTATCATATCTTTTGATTATCTAGTATTTTTTATTTATTTTTGATTTTAATTCTGGATGGCTAAGATTCAAAGATGAAGAATCCCACTCTGAGGGGAATTCAATCAGAAGAGTCCAGTTGGATTCAAGACTGAATTCCCGTCCAAGGAGGAAATTGGGATTGATCAGGAACTCTTGATCAACCCCTATAAAAGGGACCCTCTGGAACAGAATGCAAGAACACAGAAAACAGTAAGCAAAGCTACTGATTTGAGAGAAAAGGAGGCGTATAGGAAGTTAGAAAAGTTTAGGAGTGTTCTGGGAGTGAGAAAAATTTTTAGAAATTTTTGGCGAAAATTTTTTCTGGAAATTTCTGGGAAATTTCCAGATTCCGGCGAAAATTCCGGCGAAGTTTGAATTTTCCGGCGAAAATTCCGGCCAACATTGAAGTTTCCGGCGACCTGCCCAGTTTCCGGCGAAGAATCCCAGAAACCGGCGACTTTCCGGCCAACTTCCGGTGAAATTTCCAGATTCCGGCGAAAATTTCCAGAATCCGGCACCGGTGTTCTTCGGTTTCTAGAGAGAAGGGAGAGAAAAAAGGAAGAAGAGAGAGAGAGGGGGAGGAGCGTTCTGCCGAAAAACGGAGGAAGGTGCCTTTTATACCCTCCCAAAACGACGTCGTTTTGGCCTTAAGTAACCCAGAGGATCCGCGCGTTTTGCCGCAACCCGACCCGACCCGGGCGTCGACCCGCTTTCTGACCCGCGCGTGCCAGCCCCCTCCGAGCCGAGCCGAGCCGAGCCAAGCCGCCAAGCCGCTCCCCCGAGCCGTTTTCCTTCCTTGAGCCGAGCCGAGCCGAGCCGCGATCCGAGCCGCTCCAGGTTTTTTTTTTTTTTTGTTTATTTGTTTATTTTATTTTTTATTTATTAGATTAGGTTTATGTAATATTCTTTTTATTTATTTTTTATTATTTTATTTTCTTTAAATAAAAATAAAAAATTCCAAAAAAATATATTTTTAGGGAAAAGTTGAAAGTATCAATTTTCCTTAGAAATAAATTTCCAAAAAATATTTTTGGGAAAAGTTGAAAGTATCAATTTTCCTCAGAAATAAATTTCAAAAAAAATATTTTTAGGGAAAAGTTGAAAGTATCAATTTTCCTTAGAAAAAAATTTCCAAAAAAAATATTTTTGGGAAAAGTTGAAAGTATCAATTTTCCTTAGAAATAAATTTCAAAAAAATTTTTTGAGGAAAAGTTGAAAGTATCAATTTTCCTTGAAATCGAAATTTCCAAAAAAATATTTTTGGGGAAAAGTTGAAAGTATCAATTTTCCCTACAAAAAAAATCATTCTTTCCTTCCTTTCTATCTTAATTTTGATTTTGTTTTTTCTTTAAATAATCCGACGACGGAGCCTCTGTAAGTGAAACAGTAGTTTTTCTTGCATACTCTTGAGGTGAGGGAATTTTCTCAATTTTCTGCTAAAAGTATTAGAGTCAATTGAGAATAATTTTCCAATAATTAATTACTTGGTAAAATTTTAAGGCTTTTGGATAACACAAATTTAAGCTGGTACCATCTTTTGATGGGCGTTGTGAGGGTGCTATAACCTTCCTCACACGTAACCGAACTCCCGAACCCTGTTCTGGTTAGTAGACCTGAACCTATTCTTCTAGGGACCCTTAAGCTTAGGTGTTCCCTGAAAGGACAGATTCCTTAGATGGCCAATCACACCTAGATAAAAAAAGATTGGTGGCGACTCCCTGAAAGTCAATGTCTAGCGATAGATCCCCGGATCTAGACGTTACGACATATCTTAAAAAATTAATTTCATAAATGGAATGTCAGAAAGGCTCGTGTCTTTGTAGTTGGCATCGCTCATGGATTTTACATTATTCTAATAAAAATTATTTTTTTGGCTGAGCCAAAAAATTTTTTTTTAAATAAATTATATCATTATTAATTATATCAAATACATCATTATTAATATATATAACAAAACAATTATTTTATTAAAAATAAAAATTTTTTTGAGATGACCAAGAAAAAATTTGAGAATATTCAAGATAAAATGGGTCTTCAAAAGATTTTCTTTTTTCAACTTTGAAAGATGTAGGACAAAAGATTTTGAGAATGATAAAAATAAAATGAGCTTTCAAAATTTCCTATTTTCCTTGCATCCGCCCCTGCTTAAGATAGACAGCATAGAGTAGGAGACTACCGTCAAAGGACAGTTTAGAGGTTAAAGCAATTGAAAGCATCAAACAAGAAGAGCTTGCAAGCTGAAAAGAAAAATCATTGCAATAAATTAAGTCTTTAATGTTCGATTGTACATCAATTGGATCTTAATTTGGATGAAAACTGTCATTACAGTTAATTTAAAATACACGTGGAATTTAATGTAAATGTGGCACAAGATTTAAAAAACAAAATCCACTATGGCCAATGAAAATCTTGATAGGATATTTCTTACCAATTATTGTACAGGTGACAAATTTTATTGGCGGAAAGGAAAATATAAATTTAATCTACATTCATATTAAATTATATGATAAGAAATAGAACTCCCTATCAAGATCGTGAGATGATCCTTTTCATTATTTAAAAATTAATAAAATTTTTACTATTTCATCTAAAAATGATAAATGCACTAGTTGCAAATTAATAATTTTAAATTAAATAAAAAAATAAGTAAAAATTAATTAAAAAGATAAAAATATTTTAAACAAATATTCATTATAGATTTAGTTAAAATATATTTATCTTTTTTAGATGAAGTAATGAAAATTTCCAGTGATTTTTAGATAATAAAGAGATCCATTTCCATCAAGACCTCCTGTTACAGTGAATCACCCTGTGCTACCCTCAACCACCACATCCTAAAATCATCAACAATATTATAAATGTTTTTATTTAAACATATTTTGGATCAAGGTTAATTATAAATGTTAAGTGTTTTGAATATTTTGATTAATTAGTTATTAAAAGATAACAGACAAATGTCACACACTATTTCACCTAAGCATATTTTGGCCAAGTAACATATCCGCAAACAAAGTAATCAAAACGATACCTTTTGCAATTGAATCCAAAATAAAAAATAAAAATAAAAATTGTAACCAAAAACATAATTTCTTTTATATTTTATCACTACCGATAAATTGTTTTTATTTAAACTAATAATATTTATATATGCCCCAATCTATTTGGAGATCTACTTGATTTTTGTTTTGATTAATAAAATCAATAAAAAATTAGAACTGAAAAAAAAAAATAATATTAAATTTAATTGAAAGTACTTTAGCTATTGTTTTGTTAAGCTTTTCACCTATGCTTACCTTACCTTGCATTTAATGAACATGCTTTTGGTTATTTGCATTACTTGTTTTTTATTTTCCATTCTTGTTGAAACCAGTTTAGTAATGTCATCTCTAATTGATTGAATTAATTTTAGAGTAAGTGTGGAGATAATAGGTATTTAGCCTGAACTTTTTAGCTAATCTTGTAGGACAATATCTTAATTTCGGTCATTATTATTATTTGAACAATTTGTGCGCTTGTAAAAATACACAATCAATTAGTATATTGTTCACATGTATATATGTGATATAATAAGTTAAATGAAAAATAAAATAAAATAAAATAAAATATTAATTAACTTTTTTAAAATTAAGTGTAAAACTCCATCAATCTATGCAAATATACCATTAATCTTTTGCACAAAATGAATATAAGCCTTTGAGCTTTTAATGCATTTTAAACGTTTTTATTTGAATTTTATTTTAAAAAAATAATAAAAGGAAAATTTTAAAACCAAAAAAAAAAAAAAAAGAAAATCAGGAAAGGGATTAAATTTTTTTCATAAATTACAAAAATTATTTTTGAAAAAAATAAACAAATATTTTGTTTTAAAATTTTTTATTTTGGAATTAAATATTACACATTTGGAAAAAAATGAAAAGAATATTTTTATTAAAAATTCAAAATATTTGTTATTTTTAAAAAATAAAATTTTAACATAAAAACAAAAAATTTTAATATATTAAAAATATATTTTATGGTAAAATTTTGTTTTTGAAAAAGAACCAGCAAATATTTTTCTTAGTTTTTTTTTTTTAAATTTAAAATATAAAATTTTAGAATTTAGATATAAACCCTAAACTTGAAACTTAGATTTTTCTTAATTTGTGAAAAAATTTTAATCGCTTTCCCAATTTTTTTCAGTTTTGATTCTTTGAAAAATAAAAAATTTTAAAAAAATGTAATAAAATATCAATGACTTATATATGCTTTGCACAAAAGGTCGATGATATATTTGCATATTAACCTCTTTTGCTAAGTTAAAATGATGTCATTAATCCATGACATCTTTCACGTATATAAGATGACAGCTATTCAATGCATTTGGCAGTTAATCTTATTTAATAGAATTAAATTTAATTATATAATTTTTAGAGTTTAAGATTTTATTTGTAGTAAAATAAAAATTATAAATTTATTTGCATATAATAAAAGATGAAAGCTTATATCTATTTTGTACAAAAACTTGAGAGCATATTTGAGTATTAAATTAATTTTATATAGAATTTACATTTATTAATGATAAATCTTATGTAAATTATGGATACTTAAAGAAAATTTTTATCGTGATTAAACATTTATAAGATTATAATAAAAAATTATAAGTAAAATGCTCGGCAATTACGCAATACCCTTCACCTAGTCCTGTCATCGAATCCCATAAATCCATAAAGAAATCCAACATGGACCTAGCAAAAGAGTGACTCAGGAAACCAGATGGCACTAATAAGAGCCTCAAGAACCTTATCCCAAAATCCATAATCCAATCCTCCTCTATCCAATATCTCAGCGCAAACCAATTCCCTTCACATATCAACAAACTAAAACTTCCCACACCCATTTATCTGTTAGTTTTATACTCTTGAACGAAAACACAGCTAAAGAGGAGTTCTCTGAAGTGTAAAACTAGGAAAATAGTAGAGAGTGAAGAGCAGCTAGGATGGCCTCCACTGCATGCTTCTTGCACCACCATGCACCCATCACCGCAAGCAGATCATCATCATCATCGCAGCGCCAAGTTGCAAACATCAAGCCAAACCAGCTAGTTTGCAGGGCTCAGAAGCAGGCGGTACAAGAGGATGATCGAAGCCTTGTCTCCCGTAGGTTGGCTCTCACTGTGCTCATTGGTGCTGCAGCTGTTGGCTCTAAGGTTTCTCCTGCTGATGCAGCCTACGGTGAAGCTGGTAACTTCCTTTCTCTTCTTGTACTGTTAAATTTGTTTAAACATATCAAAAAAATAGTTTGTAATGTGTATTACAAATATGGATGCCATAATGTCCTCTAATGTCAGTAAAATGAAATAGGGAGAATTGATGGTCTTCGATGCAAATATAATTAATTAATTAATTAATTAATTAAGATTGTGTTTGATTGCAGCAAATGTATTTGGTAAGCCAAAAACAAACACAGACTTCTTACCATACAATGGGGATGGGTTCAAGCTGTCAATACCATCAAAATGGAGCCCAAGCAAGGAGGTTGAGTTCCCAGGTCAAGTCCTCAGATACGAGGACAACTTCGACTCAAACACCAATGTTGCCGTCATGGTCACTCCAACTGACAAGAAGTCCATAACTGACTTCGGTTCCCCTGAAGAATTCCTCTTAAAGGTATATTATGATTTCTATATATTATCTGTAATCAGATATTTCAAGAATTACGAAAATATGGTTTGCCGATTAATTTTCTTGTCATGGATCTTTGCAGGTGGACTATCTGCTTGGAAAACAAGTATACGCTGGCGTAACTGATGCTGAGGTAATTCACTAACATATCAAAAGACAGGTAAAATAGAGGCAAATTAAAAGGGGAGTTGGTGGACATTTCCAGTCATGTATGTTTCCAAAATCGTTTGCAAGTGGACAGTTAACGTATATACTTTTTTTTTTTTAAAATTTTACAAACGAAATCACAGTTTAGGTTTAGGGTTAAGGGAAAGAGTTGCAAGTCTTAGAATTTAAACTCCAGACTAGCCAAATGTCACTTTAAAATTGGCTGTATAAACAAAATGAACTAAACACTGAATTTAGACACTTAACATAGTTATAGCAGCATTTGGGAAAAAAAATTTTTATCCCTTCCCTCTTTAATTTCTTGACTTCTTTTTAAAATTACAAGCAAATCTCTAATGTCTACTTGCATATACACTTGAATTGGTCAGGGTGGGTTTGACTCCAATGCAGTGGCAACCGCAAACATATTGGAGAGTTCAACTCCGGTGGTTGGTGGGAAACAGTACTACTACTTGTCAGTGTTGACAAGAACTGCTGATGGAGATGAAGGTGGCAAGCACCAACTCATTATAGCCTCTGTAAAAGATGGTAAGCTTTACATTTGCAAGGCACAAGCTGGAGACAAGAGGTGGTTTAAGGGAGCTAGAAAGTTTGTAGAGAGCACTGCAAATTCCTTCGGTGTTGCTTAAAAACTTAATGAATTGGAGAGATTTCATGTAAATCTTCTGAGAAGTTAGGATGTTAGATTTGAGTTTGTCTATCATGAATCATCAACTCCCCTCCAATGCTTCTCTTTTCTTTTTGGTCCTTTCGAGGAAACTTGTGGATATCTAAATAATTAAGGAGCAACCCTTCTGCCATATTACTCCTTTTATCTCTTTATATCTCTCCCTTATAAATCAAAACCATCCCGGATGAAGATAGTTATGAAGCTTGTTGAATCTTATCAATGGAAAATGAGCATTCACCACAACTTGGATATCTGCTTAAATCATCAAAAACTGAGAACCTATGTAGCTAATAACCTTCAAATTTCTTTCCTCATCCCAAATCCGAAAGATAATAGTAATATCTTCCTGTTTGGTCTGATTAACGGACCATGTAAGTCTCGAGCCCGTGACCTTCTGACCATGCAGGTCTGGAACCTGTGACCTCGCCGTGCTCTTAGCGTTATCAGCACGACTCTCTAACCAAAAGCTGCATTAATGGCAAGATCCCTTACATTTCAGACTTTAAAAAGGAACCCCAACTTCAAAAGAGCCAAGAAAGAAGTGGCATGGATCTTATATATGATGGATTCTCCACCCAAGAAAATCTGGAGAACTGATCTTTACCTACTTGATTTTGACTACTAACATATTACCTCTTCAATTTCAATTAAGTTGTTATAAAAGAAATTGCACTGCTGCATACATTACTGAAAGTAATCGGGAACAAGTAGTTAAGATGTGCTAAAAAATAGTGAACATTGGAGGTAAGCCAGAATGAGTGGTCAACAATTTCACGAGAATTCAAATATCAAATGTGTAATTGACCCTTTCTTAAATGCAAAGCCAGCCACATTAAAAGCAGTTATGCAAGTGATTGCAAACACATCTAAAACTGAATACTATAACATCACGAGCCATTTTCTCAAAAGAAGAAAACTTTTGAGGATCCAAAAAATAGGTCTTGATTTTCAGACCTGCAGAGTGAAGGGATGCCTTGTGGCAACAGTAATCAAAAGCTATAGGCAGTTCCTTTAATAGTAATACTCCATCAGAATGCAAGTTAAAACCAGAAAACATTTGCACACAGGTATTGATGAACTACCTTAATGATAAGCATGCAAGCTGAAAATTTTCACCATAAAATGTAATCAAATTAATTAAATGTTAAAAAGAAAAATAGCAAATTTATTATCAGAAAGTTGCTGCAACGTTGACAATCTTTTTTTAATATGAATGCCAGCTTTCTACAAGGTAAAGTATTTACATGAAACCAATTATATCAGGTATCAATGACAGGAGATTCCATGCATTCAATCTCTCAGGTTCTTCCATTGCAATAATGGATACCGTTACTGTGACTGTCTTTCAGCTTTGCGCTTAGATTATTCAAGCCCCATATCCGAATTGTACGATCATCACTAGCTGATGCCAACATGTGAGGGTTTGCTGGATTCCAGCTTACGCAATTAACAGATCCAGAATGACCTGGTAATGCCTTTATAAGCTCCCCTGTGCCTCTATGCCATATATAAACCTAAACATATAGCAAAAAGAAAATTATATTTAATTCACTCAAACTTCAGAAATAAATCACATTCCCTATAAATTTACATTTACAAAATGTGTATGCATAATGTCACATTGTTTAATTAGTATTTCAGCGCTATACTTGTGATGGAAACAGACCAGAGTCCACCGATGAAGCCATAAACATCTAAGAATAAGTCAAGATCCATTTTTTCTGGACTAGTGTTAGGCACTAAGTCCAGGCAGCCAAAAGTTACCATTAAGTTGGCCAAAATCCACAAGGTTACCACCAATGTGTATACTGCTGTACACAGATGTGGAAATTCTTGTTACATATGACTACATCCATGTTGGGGAGGGGGGCATGGGGAGTCACAAAGGGGTTAGGACCTTGAACCTTAACAATCCTAAGCAGAAGAAACAATCAATAAGCCAAACCTGGGTCGTTCAGAAGTACAATTTCTAGAAACGAAAAAGCGACTGGACTGTAGAATGAGAAGATATACTTTTGTACTAAGCAGATAGCAAATGTTTATGCTTACGCATGCATGGCTGATATATGTTGAGCCCATCAGTGACAAATAAATATCTTACAACATTTCTCTGTGATGTTATACAGAAGTAAACAACTAGTAAGGTGAAGGGTGATGAAAAAAATACATTAATCAGCTGCTTGACTGGCGTAATATTGTGAAAACACATGACAGAAGAAGAAAATCAGTGGCTCTGATCCACTATACAATATCATCTATGCAAGCATATGACTGCACATGACTGATGAACATGGAAAGCAATGTGACTTTTGGTGATAAAGCAAAAACCATCCATACTTGCTTGAGATCTAATAGCCTTCACAAAGGTTCAGTTTCTTATTATACTACAATCTTTCACTATAATGACACATTTATGTAGAGATGGATCCTGTATATAATATAAGTCAACACATGGAAACCTTATTATGAGAATACTGCTTTCCCTATTAAGCATAGGCTAACTTACTGCTACAGATTGATATAGAACAAATTTAAAGTCCGTACCAGTGAGTCCTCACTACCACTTGCAATAAAAGCTTGCTCGAGTCCACCAAAACAAGACCTAATGATGAAGCGGGTGCGCTTATGGCCTTTATATTTAGAAACAAGCTTCAGATCACCTTCTATATTCCACAGATGGATTTCTTGGTTTAAAAGATTTACCAGCAAGAATCTATTGTCTCTTGATAATGAGAAGGAAGTTATTGTTCGATCCTCTTCAATTAATCTCTCAACTTTTGCTTCCCTGTCATGTAATAATATTGCTGTTTCCCTACATATACTGATAATCTGCCTTCCATCACTTGTTATTTCCAAATCAGAAATTTTTAGAGTACATTGCCCTTTCCAGCACTCTAGCTCTTTCCCATCCAATTCCCACATGCAGATACTCTTATCATTCACACCAGAAAATATCCATTTGCCATCTGGAGACCATCCACATGAAACCATGCCAAGACCAGCTTTTTCATAAACATGGAGGCATTCACCAGAAGAGACATCCCAGCACCTTAACACCTCCTCAACACCGCAAGTGAGAAGCTGGTGGTCATCAGGACTCCATGAAACAGAAGATATAGGTTTCTGGTGACCAGAGAGTTTATGTTTTAAAGATAGTCCATTTGCATCAACCTACAATAATTAAAATTGTTAGAATAAGAAAAAAGACTGATTGCTAGGCTTTTGGGTCAAGTAAGCAAAAGATAATTGTTCACAGTGATCTAAGCATTGTCACTGGTTAACACAACCTTTTTATATGCTTGAAATTGATTCCATCCAAGAGAAAGTCTTAATTTCACCCAAACCCCCTGAATAAATGTAGAAAACTTTGAAAAAGAAACGTTTGGAGTTTCTGGTGTTTAAAAATACTAAAAACTTAACAGAAAAAAAAATAGAGAATGGATTTAAATTAAGTAAATTGCATTAAGGATGAATAAAAGGTGATTGTTATTGAGAAGACTACTGAAGTTAGACGGAGGAGCTGTTCCATAAGTTGCTTAAATTTGGCTACTAATACAACCTTAAGAGGGCTTAATAATTCAGAAGAAAAAACAATTATGCCTTCCATTGACATACTAGAAAAAGCAAGCTAAGGAAGTCTTTGAAAAAGATGAAGAGTAGAAAAGCATTTCGGCCAGATGGCATCCAGACTAACAAGAGGAAATGTATATGAGAAGAACAATATCTTGGCTTACAAACTTTATTCAATAGTCCAAGAAAATACTGGATGACTAGAGAAAGATCACTCTTTCTTTCTTTTTTGAGGAGAAAAAAAAATTATCTATATACAAGAAAAAAGAGGACATACTATTACAAAGGTATCAAATTGATAACTCATATGATGAGATGATCAAACAGAAGTTAAGGAATGAGATTAGCATTTTTTAAAATCAACTTGAGTTTATATCAATTAGTTTGATTATTAAAACTTTTTATCATTGAGGATTTTAATGCAGACATTCCATCTCAGGTGTAGCTTTTTGAGCTTTCTCCATTCTTCTAACTTTGGGGCATCCCTCCTTTGAAGCTTTTCCTTTCAGTTTACTTGATTCTTAACTCTCACCTCGTTTTCCTTCAAGCAATTTTCATGCTGATTACCATGCAAAACATTCACAATATCAGCATGAGAAAAATGGCGATTTTGAAGTAGAACAGAACAACCACACTCTAAGCCTCTGTCATCTAATTGCGTTCTTACAGACAATAATTACTGCCTAAATCAACACAGGAAGTACCCCTTCATATTCCAACAACACATCTATTTTCTATTTCATTACATCCAAACCCTTGCACACCCATGACCCTAGATGGGAAAAAAATTACTAGCTTTGATTACCAAGAAAGGTCTTTCTTTGCTGCATTTAGGGAAACTCATTTTTGCTAAGGTTCCATATGATTGTTTCTAGGGATATAATCAATCAAGTTCGAGTCAATACAGTATTAAACTCAAGCTCGAGCTCGACTCCAAATTCGAGGCTGAAAACTCGACTCAAACTTGATTGAGTTTTTTTTTTTTTAGCTCAAGCTCAACTTGAAATAGAAATCAAGCTACTTGAGCTTGCTCGATTAGGCTCAATTAACATGTAAAAATAAACTCGATTTTTATATTCGACAAAAGCTCGATTATTTATATTTAAACTCGAATTCAAACTCAAGTTCGAGATATTTTATCAATTAAAATAATTAAAATATATTAAAATATAAAAGCTCGATTAGGTTCACAAGCAATTCAAGTCGGTATAAGAATATTCGAACTTGGCTCGATCGATAAGTCAAGCTACTCAAGCTCAAGTTTGACTTGATAATAACCGAACTAGATTCGAGTTTTATTCGAATTGAATGCCAGTAGCTTGCGAGTACTAATATATCATTTACACCTGTAATTGTTGCTTTTACTATGTTCATTGTTCTTGCTTTTCACCTCCATAAACTTAATAAAAAACGAAAAGGAATGAGGAAATAGAAAAATCATATTTAATTCAAACAAATTGCTAAAGTAATCCACACGTTCATACATAATTCCTCCACATAAAATAAAATCATGCATTTTGTCATGCACAAAAGTCAAATTTTTTAATTTTCAAAAATACTAATCTACTTTCATATTCAATCAGAGTTTACTTTATGCTTGGAAAAGAAATCAAGTAGCAAACATGACAACCAAAATAATCTCCAAGAAACCACATCTCTTTATCATTTCTTTCTTTCCTTATTTTATTATGTTGGCAACAGTTATGCTGAAGATGGGGTAGAATATAAGTTACAAATAAACCATAAGGTATTAAAAAAAAGATGCTGAAGAACACTGGAAAGAGGAATCTAATAAGATATTATATGTTACTATTTTTAGTTGAAAGTACATAAAAATTACAGCACTTATGTCTGCAATGGAGTATAAAAAACAGAGTTGAAAATGTAAATCAATTTATCACTAAAGATAAGGATTTAAAAATAAAAGGTTAAAGGGTCAAAAATGCCCCTGAACTAGAATTAAAATGTCATTTAAGCTGTTAACATTTTATTGCAATCAATCGAATCCTTAGTCTTCTATTTCGACCCAATTTAACCCTTCATTGGACGAAATTTAGTTATGTGGCAAAAACTGAATCAATCAATCCCTGAACTACAATCAATTGAACCCTTAGAGGGATCTTAGAGAGAGAAGAGGAAAGAAAATAGAAAAGAAAAAGATAAAGAGAAAAAATATTTTATTTTATTTTATTTTATTTTCACCTATATTAATTGCACCACGTAGAAAACTTTAATCTATTTTATTGATGTCACATGGAATTTTATCTTCGTTGGCAAAAAAAATTAACAATATTAACTTTATCATCCAACTAAGGGCTTAATTGGATGTAAATAAATTTTGGAGGGGTTGATTTATTGCAATAAAAAAAATAAGGTCTTAGATTTTTCTTTTTAATTATAATTCAAGGGTTTTTTATACCCTTTAGCCAAAATAAAAAGTCCAAAACCATGAGTTATAGGTATAAGGGGTTATCTTTAACAAAATTAACATTATTGTTTTATCCATGTCCTGAGTGAATAGCAATACCTCCCAAATGATCGCTGACCGATCATTAGACGACGAAGCTAAGTATTTTCCATTGTGTGAAAATTGCAAGAACCATACTTCATCAGCGTGAGACTGTAGTATCTGTTGCAAGAGAAATGACAAAAAGAATTAAAAAAAGAATTTTCAATAATAATTCAAGAAAAGATAAGAGCAAGCCACAAATAGATAAAATTTCAGATAAGGAATAAAAAAACAGATTAAAAAAAATCAAGAAACTGCGAATATTTCAGTCAGAGGACACTAAAACAAATTCACTCGGATGCATATGTAAACAAGTGATCCAATTTTTTTCCCAGACTTGGCAAATTTGGACACAATCCACTAACACAATGTGAATACAACGCCAAATTTAGAGGGTTTGACTGTTGCATGATTGTGTTCGCGTCAAGGTCATGTCAACCTGCTTATGACAGGAAAATATTCTTATGTTGCGCAAGCTGACCCGTCTAACCCATATATGACCCGTTTATACATGTTTAATTAATTGTATTAATAGGTTAATGCACATTACTCAAAATATTTAACACGTTTAAACTCATTTATTACAATACATAAAACAAAATATTATTCATGTTTATATAGGTTAATAGTGTTGAAATGGGTTAACCATATCGTGTATAAATGGGTTAACCATATCGTGTCTAAACAAGTTAACCATATTTAAACATGTTAACTATGTCACTTTATGCATGCAGTGTAATAATCATGTCACATTCGTGTCTGTCGACCCATTTACTAGTGCCATGTTTGTGTCAAAGACTTCAACAAGATGATTAATTGTATCAAGTTCGTTTTGACCCATTTACCTGTTATACCCTGACCTTGACATGGAAAGATTAAGAACCGCTAACACGAATTGCCAGTCGTACTTTTTCCTTTCTCTTTAGTGAGTGAATTTGCCAGTAAGGTTTGGCTCAAGAAAGATCAAAAAATGGAGGAAAAAAAGAATGGGAGAAAAGAAAGTGAAAGGAATGGAAGCATTTTCTATTAACTCTATTAGTGTATACGGTAGGAAAGATAGAAAATGAATGGAAAGAAAATTATTGCTTTAATCCATAGCTCAATAGAATTGAAATTGGAAGGAAAGAAAATTAAAATCACATTATTTTACCATTATAACATTTTTGAATGGAAATAAAAGCACAATTTATTAAAAAACACACACACACACACATCAATAAACTTTACTATCACTTCATTTACATCCTTCCCCTTTTCTCTCCCACAATTTTCGCAAACTTGAATGATTGATTTTTGTCATTATAGATAAACTGACAATCACTTTTATTTTCTAGCCTCACTTTTCTTCTCCTTCCAAATTGAAGTAAAAATTGGTTTCTTTCCAATTTTCCGTTCATATCTTTCCATCTACCCACTTTTCTCTCCTACTAACTGAAGCCCATGATGCCTACCATATAATGACGAAGACATTGGTATCATTCATACACCCTAATGCATGATGAACTAATCTCAAATCTACAGAAAAAAAAAAAAAAAAAGCAAACCAACAATGATATACATATAATATTAAGAAAAACTATAGTGAAGAGTATCCACAAGAAACCTTTCAACAGGGCTCAAGTATCACTTAATCAAAAGTTTATAACTTTTAAAGCTTCTAAGTTTTAATTGGATTCAAATAAAATAAAAGAAAATATAATCCTATTAAGATAAGAATTTAAAAGCAAAACCAAGCTCTTAAGTCTTAAGGACACAATTTCCTTACAACGAAAATGGTAATTAACAAATCAAAATACCAGAACAAATCAAACGATAATTTGTAAAGAATACTTCTAAAAGTATCAGGTACTTCCACATCAGTTGGAGTGAAAATTTTCCCTAACTCTATTTTACATGTTCATGCCAATTCATAACTAAAACCTCCAAAACCCACCTAGTCAGTGGTAGAATACTGTTAAATCAGTTCTCTATGTAGACATGATGCCCATTAATATAATTACAAAGTCAGACATTGTTGGTCCCTTTTACTTGGAGCCTAACTGCTAAAAATATTGAAAAAGAAAATGAAAAGTGAAAGATAATCAAAGGATAAAACTACACTATTGAAGCTTTGATCCATTTACAATTTAGGAAGACACTACACAAACAAAAGAAAAAAAAAAATTCCCCTTTCCCTGTCTTAGTTTAAACCTAAAACTGCCAGACCTTATCCACTACGTGCTCAAGCAATGAGCAAGTAAAGATATATGTATTATCTACTTTGTTCTAATGTTTAAATTTTAAGATAATCACAAAGGTCTATATTGGCCACAAATCTTGCAAATGGTCGTAATATTCTCTATCCACTTGAAAATGAAATTATTTATTAAGTTTTGGAAAATTCACTGATAATTCACAAATGTCATTTTATCTTTATTGAGAAACAATTGCCATAGTTTTAAATTTAATGTAAAATAATATTTCTCTTTAAGGCTATTTAATGTATAATAATATTTCTCCTTATGGCTACACATATTTCCTTTTGCTAATATACATGGTTAATATTCAACATATATAACCCATGCTCCTATTCAGAAGATTACAGATAAAGAGAATTGATTTTCTTCCATGGCTAACAGAAAATTTCAAAAATCCACTCTTCTAAGCAATGTTGAGGTTTTAGCACTCAAGACAAGAAGTTCAACTCCTAGGATTGTCATCTCCTAGCATCAAAGAATTGCTAACGCAAAAAGGTTAATTTATCATTATTTTCTCAAGCTTCTCATCTCACACATAGCTTCAAAATTTGTCCAAACCCATTTGGTCCCCGCTCATACCTGCCCTAAAATTTATCAATCCAACCCAACCATTGATTAAAAGGGTTATCAAAAAGGTACACCCATTTAAAACAAACTAATTGGTGCCCCATGGGTACCCAACAAGCATCCATTATTTTAATTTTTAAACGCAATGGCCAATGATCAGCTTATTTGAATTTGTCTTTTTCTTTTTCTTTCTCTTTCTTTACTTTTTTTCTTTTCCTTTCTTTCTCTTTCTTATTCCCCCAACAATGGTCACCAGAAAACAAACTTGACAATGCTGAATCTAACCCTCACAAGCCTAGCCAACATTGGTAGGGATTGGCTATAGCTAATTTATATGACAGGTCAACATTCCAAGAGGTTGGATCCTGCCAAGCCAAACATTGCCCAATTGTCTCTCCGAGATGCCTAGAAGTGGAAGGAAAGAGAGAAGAAAGAAAAGGAAAAAGAAATTAAAAAAACAAAAAAAAAAAGAGAAAAGAGAAAAAGGCAAAAAAATAACATACTTCACCGAAGATAGAAAATTTCAGAATTTTAATAATAACTAATCATACATTCCTTGAATAAAATAACACACAATAATTTTTTAGAACGGTTATTTATCATTTATATTTTCAACCCACATTTTGTTCACTTCTAATTACAATTTTACATATATAAAAATTTTGTGAGGTTTAAGAAGATGAATATATAAAAATATGAAAAGGATAAAAGTTTGATGAATCAATTGTAGGGGTGAGCATAAGTTGGCTGGGACTGATTTGAATGACTGAAATCAACTGAATTTGGTTAAGTCGGTTTGGTTTTCGTAATTATCGGTTAAATAAATAGGTTTCGTCAATTAATTCAGTCAGTTTTCAGTTTTTAAAATTAATAACCAAACTGACCAAATTAACCAACATTTTTAATAAATTTTTACATATATTGTATATAATATAAATATATACAATTTTTTTTATTTGTGTTTTTAAGAATGGGAAATATGATATTAATGGCAAATTATAAGGTGAGTTTTATTGGGTGAAAATTGTTCAAAATGGGCGACAAAAGAATGATGAAAAAAATTTGGTTTTTTGACCGAACCAACTGACCTTATGTTCGTTTAGTTATTTTCGGTTATTAGAAATAGATCAATCAATTCAGTTATTTTTTAAGGGCAATCGATTAAGTCAGTTTCCAATTTTTCAAAACCGAACCAATTGATTGCTTATGCCTATTGATTGGGCTGGTCCATATAAATGGATGATGGGTGACTTTGGCATGTAGATGTACAAATTAAAGTGGTCCTAAATGGGCATATAAGCAATTATAACCCAATCCATATATAAGTCACCTATACCATTTCATACCTGCCCATTTGACACCCTATTATAGTCAATGTGACGTCCATGATATGTAGTTGGGTTGAATGCATCAACAAACATAGACCATCCCACATAAAACAAATTCAATGAACCATTTGCACAGCTTTTACAACGATTTTTGGTCCAAGAGATATGTCACTTGAAAATATTGTAAAAAGAAAAAAGTTAGATGTTTGTATAGAGAAAAACTCACTAAGATTCCTAAAATCGACCCAATTCATGGCATGAAGTTTTGTATCTCTTTTTGTCTGTGTCACTGCTCAATGCAGGGCAGCAACTAATCTTTAAAGATTATTTGATTGACCATCTCAAAAGCTATGATGTTCGATTAACAGTAAGGAGGTTTGGAAGCATATTCTTGAAGATGTTTAAGAACACCTTGAGAGTTGTCTTAAGGACTCACTAAACGCTTCACCGGTGGCTGTCCTTAGGGTATCAAACCTCATTGTTTCAATCCATTACATCATCCTTGGGAGAAAGTTCTATACAATGAAAATGAATGTTTTCCATAAGCATAAAATCTGGCATCAAAGCCCAACCATGGTTGAGTGATTGAAGCCATTAATGAGGGACAATATTGGTCTGGAAGATGAAGCTAAAGCACCTGCTAATATCTTGTCTGAAGTGGGTGCTACAAATATCCTGATAAACATCAAGTTTTTTGGTACCAAGACCATCAGTCCAAACATGACTGGTAATGATATAAAGGACTTAATATCTTGATGAAATTAAGGACTCTGATCAATCCACCACAAAAGGCCACAAAAATAACCCTCCAGCTAAGATGCAATGGACAATAATCAAGGCCTTTATTTGCAGAACATAAATTTACCTAAAATACTCTTTAACAGCAGAATAGAATAAAACCAGCGGCCCTAAAATTCCATAACTACCAAGTGCACTTTCCATTAGTCCTAGAAGATATCTTTATGGTTGGAAATGCCATCACTTTCTCTTGAACTTCAAAAGAGGATCTCACATTCCCAAAAAAATGTGAATGAATCATAAAATCTTCTTATTAACATGTCATAGATAATTTGCTTGGAGAACACTTCCAATTGTTGATTGTTCAAATCAACCACGTATCATATGAGCAGGGATTTAAATTACAGTTATTGTCACGTTTTCGGTCATGTTACGTTTATTGCGGTTGCGGTTGCGGATGTAACTATTGCTATCGTGGTCATTGTGATTGTGAAATTTTTTTAATTTTGCACAATTTATTGTAAAACATAGTAATTATACTTATGATCATAAAACTTCCTTTTAATAATTTTTAAAGTAATTTATGTCTCACTAGGATCATTTATTTATATGAAAAAATATTTATAATTTATGTCATTAGAGTAAAATATTCATATTTAGAAAAGTACTAATTCTTAACTATGAATTTTTACCAATATTAATAACTAATAAAATAAAATATATTAAATGTCAAGGATCCATATATACTAATATTACATTAGGAGTAAATGAGGGATTTTTTTATTAAAGATTCTTCTTATTAGAAATTTTTAATAGAATCAATACTTAGATTTTCTTAGAATTTTATCATCAAAGATTCACATTTACTTTATTTATTAATAAGTAATATTTCATTTATAAATATTTTCATAATAAAAAAGATTTTAACAATAATACAATCATTCATAATTTATTTATTTTTAGAAACATTTTTAAAAATATTATTAACATGAACTAAAAATAAATATACAAATAAAAACTTATTAAAGTCTTAATGTAAAGTCTAAAGGATCCAATAAGTCCATAAATCAAATAGCTTGTCAACTATTGGGCCAAAATTTAGTATGCAAGGCCAAGATCCATCCAATTCTTTCCATTTTTTTTCCTTTAATCCCAAAACTTACTGTTTAGTTCTTAGGTATTAATCGAAAATTATAAAACCTTAATCCATTTTTTCTTTCCCTTATATTTCTTCTCTCACCAGCAGCACCATTCCCTTCCTCCCTCCAAACCTGAAACTCCAACTCCAGCCTCCAGGTTCCCTCCACTAGTAATGCTCCGTTTGCTGTCCAGCTCCAAACACAGTCTCTCTTCTTCTACTCCTTTTTCCTTCATCTTCTTTCTTTTCTCCTGAAACCTGAAAGCTTCAATCACCTATCCCTTTCTAGCTCTAGAAACAGAGGGCCTCCAATCACCTAGTTCCGTCCTTCTCACGTTAGGCTCTAGTATCAGTGCAGCCAGCTTCAGTTTTTTCAAGATGGATCTCACAGTATAACTCACCAGTTTACAGCACAATTTTTGCAAAAATTTCAGAAATAAAAAAGAAATTTTAAGTTAAATTGCAATGCTTACCTTTAATTAGTTGGTTATGCTTATCTTAATTTAGTGTTTTGAGTTTGACTGAGGCTGTATTTATTTTATTTTTTGGGTTTTTCTTGGATGAAAACCTCTTAATTTTACTCAGGCATAATGGTTTTGTTTTCATTTTTCTATATATTTTTTTGGATGGAATTCGGAGTAGCTGGCAACAACAGACCATTATCGCCACAATTGACAGTTACACCGCTTTTCGCGTCCGCAACAAGCCACAACCATCGTGATCGGCATTCTCATCTGTTTTTTCTTTAATAGCAGTGGCGGACGGCAGCATTACTGCAAAATAGCGGCCGCTAAACCACTACCAGGCCACTATTTAAATCCCTGCATATGTGTACCTCCCAAACACCATATGCACATTTTAAGCATGAATGTTTTGCATCAAAATTTTACAGAAGTTTCATCCTTTTGGCATGCAAAGGCAATAGTGAATCAAGAAAAATAGGTTTAATGAACTATTACAACTTATTATGAGTACTTTCACTCACTTCCCTAGTTTATTATTCTTGGAACAAACCTTTGGCTACCAAAGAAAGGATATACTGACTTGGAAATTCACCAACTTAGAAAATGACCTTCCATTAGCATTTTCATTAAGAAACCACATTGAATTCCAACTTGGCAAAACAATTCTCAAGCACCATGAGTAGGAACTTTCCTCTCGATTTTTTTAATCATACATGAGATCTTAAAGAGCTCACTATCTAGTCAGTTACAGACTTCAAATCACTTCTTCTAGTCCACAGCTATATGACTTCACGTACATTAGATTTTCTTTCACATCATCTCTCTTAAAGGTGAGAGCCCTCAAAAGTCAAAACACATAAACCATCATCTTCAATGATTTAAGATTGGACTTTCCATTTTCATTTTCAGATACTAACAACCCCTTCAGCAGACTTTTGAGGCTAGTGTAATACATAAATGGGTAGAGAATGCCTCAAGATTGCACCTAGGAAAGAAATTGTCTATCCAACAAGAAGTCTTCAAACACTAATTCCAGTGAAAGTGTAAACACCACAATTTAAAATCTAACTCATAATCAAATACCTAACATCAGTTCTATAATGCCTGAATCAAGCAAAGGTTATCAATAGCACATGAATCAAAGAACCTGCTAATCTATGGCAAAGAATACCCATATTGATAAAGCACAACCTAAGATAGATTTATAATTTCCACAAAACTAACACAAAAGGATGTAAAAGAATGCACTGTGTACCATGTTATGATTGTAGTTCATGGAATTTTGCGTAAATAAAAGAATGTAAAAAAATCCTTAGAATTTTACCATCTTCGAGTATAGAATGAAAGAGACAAAAATTAATAACAAAATCTGATTAGCAGAATAAAATCTAACCTGCAATGTTTGAGACGGAATTTGATCTCTCCCACACTGATGATCAGCATATAGCGACATTTCCTTATCCATAGAGTTGTGAAACAAGCAAGCACCTCGTTGCAAGACAAGGGCCTGTTCAACTAAATGCTCCAACCTTCTTTCAGGAATCATAACTGTTGGAGGAAGCAGCTTTTGTAATTCTTCCAATAATTTAGTCCGAGATCTAGCCCTCAGTGTATCTTGTTTCAGAGACCAAACAGAAAAACACTGAGAAGGTGATACAATAGATGAAGAAAGCTCACGAACTCTACTATTATTGATACAAAGAGGTGCAATCTCAGTCCTCAATGTATTCAGAGCGTCCATGACTTTTTCTTCATCCAAAAGTTCAAAAAACTTCTGTTCCAATATCAGAAAAGAGGCTGATTTTATGGTCCTTTCATCTGTTAGACCAATATCATGCAATGTGACAATACTTTCATCCCAACTTCCCTCAAGAATTTGTCGCATAAATACATTGACCAAAGAAGAATGTAATGTTATTCCCGACTCTTCCTCTAGATGAGCACCACTCTTTATATAACCAAGAGAGTATAATGCTTTTGTTATTATTCGGACAAATTCTACCTTCTTTATGAGTCCTTTTGAGCCAACAACTTCTTTGCCCCCTTGAGAATGCAGGGGCCAAGCCATCAAGCCTCCTGAGGACCCAGCTAGAGGTTCTTTAATAGCTGAACCGTTGGAAAGAAGTCTCAACTCTTCAGAGGATAGTTTCATGCGTTTTGAGGCTGGTTCATCATCCTCTACACCTCCCATGAAATGTGCACCTCAGCCCATATATTATCGGACTGGTAAAAAAAAGCAACAGGGATAAATAGTAATGCCTCTGATGAATCACGAGGAATAAGACTCTGCATGCAACAGGCAAAAAGATGTTGTAGGTTCACAAAATTGAGCATAAGAAAGAGAAAAAGATCACAGAGAAAAATCTCACTATTATCAATGTGAGGTTACAAAAAAGAAATTTTATATATATATATATATATACACAAACAATTACTTAGCAAAAAAATTGCAATTGATAAGAAGGCTGCATATTTATTTCATGAAACTAATCAGTTCAGCTATCCCTCATAAAATGTGCATATACAAACCTTTTATACTTTTCCAATTTAGTTATCATTTCATTTTCATATGCAAGTTCATACATCCATGATTCTCTTAATAATTAAAACACCATCATTATACTAGAATTGTTATCAATCAACTATTACAATGTAAATGTATGAATTTCTACCATAAAGAGAAAGGTTTAAATTCAAGAAAAAAAGCGGGGGAAGGAATTAGGGCACAAAAAACAATAAAAGAAGAGAAAAGATCAAAGTCAGATCCTTAATGGCATCCATAGGACACTTCAGTTAATTTTAAATTCAATAGAACCTTCACCTGTAGAGAACAATGATAATAGGAACTTAGAGTTACCTCAGCTAATCATAATGAGTTCAATAAAAGCTTCATCTATAGAGAAAAATGATCATTGGAGCTTAAACTTCTAGCTAGATAAGAAAGTCTACTTTTACCAAAGACTTCAGCTGCCCAACATTACAGTTTCCATTTTCCAGCTATTCTGTGTAGCATAATGGTTACAATCTCCCAATCAACATTTTCAATGTACCCCAATAACTGAGTCAACCCATAGGACGTACTTAATTGCAGCTGGCAAAATCATTTGCGGTTTATTTCCTAAGCTATAACAACAATGATAACTTCCCTGTCTTGGGGATAAAGCCATGTCTGGAGGAGCTCAATCCACAACCACTTGAAATAATTTTTTGGGATTGCAAGAAACCATTTGAGTAAAGAGAGCATATTGTAATTAAAGACAAGGGTTAGTTTTAAAACAATCATATTACAGCTATTCTAAAGAACTTCAAATGCTCATTAATAGCATATGTTAATTTTCTATCCAAAACAATAAAACACACCTTTATCAATGTATAGAAACAGCTATCACAATGACTTTAGTTTTCTATCCAGAACAACAAACAAATATTTTATCACTGTACAGTGATGGATATCATATAGGCCACAAAAGGAACGCTTGGTAAGTCTACGAATCAGTTAGCATAAGGAATCAAACGTAATTGGTTGCATCCTTTAACTATAAATTTCAGCCAAAAAATAAAATTCAGGGGAACCTGCACTTGCAAAGATAAATTTTAAGATCACCAAACTTGCCTTACCTTTTAAGGATTAGAACATTTTGTTAATTTGATATAATTGTAGATACTATAAATAAGAAAGAAATTTAATACTTCATTCTTGCTACAAATAAGAATTTAACCTCATTGACTTTGTATCCAATATGGAAAACAAAGGGAACATACAGTTTCACTATATCATTCAGAGATTATTCTTGCCATGATATTCTTATGCAGAAGACTTTTGAGAATTACAGGGATATTGCTTCTGAATTATTCATATTGGGACAATGAATTAACTACATTTAAAGCAATTATACTGCTATTACAAACGACGTACTAACACGATTTGACTTTAAACTTTCTTGTTCTTGAACATTTTCTTCGTGATGAAAAGTTTTCAATATTTATAACACTACACTCAACCATAAACAAAAAGCCTTTTCAAGTACAATCTTTGCCACTTTAGTTCACTAAGCTTTGTTGTGACAATGTTTGTAAAGTAAGGCCAAGTTGGGAACTTCAATCATTACTTGGAAAATTAAACGAGAAGAAATTATCATTACATCCATCTCCAAAAGGAATTTATTTTATACATTTGGATCAGCATATGCAACATATAAATTGAGAAAGTCAAATGCTCAGTTATAAGACCTAACTCAATTATGAAACCACATTTATAATTGATTTAAGTATCCATATGATTGAAGGAATCAGATAGCCGGAACATTAATATATGATTAAGTTCAAGCTAAACAAATTACATAAAAAAAATATATAATGATCATTAGAAACAGATAAAAAGAAGGGCCATTTTGAACAAAAAAAAATTATTTTAGTTTCAAAATTGAATAAAAAAAGTTCCTAGCAGAAATGATGGAAAACCCACATCATAAATAAAGCAACTAATGTAGAGTCTCTACAATACCCAGCAGCTATAACTAATATCATCCAAAAATACTAGAAAAAGCTACTATCATATTGGCTCTGAGGCAAAACTTACCCAAAACCAGAACAAAATTAGATTGCAAGCAGATCATAATTGAAGGGTAAAATCAGCAGTAAAAAAGAAAAATCTGAAACACCCAGAAAGGGATAATGAAACAAGTAAGGATTCAGATCTGAAAATTTGGATTGAGAATCCAATAATTAAAAGAAAAATGAATAAAGGTGAAGAAATAGAGGAGACCAAGACAAAAAAACCTTTTTTTTTTTTGGTTATTTGTCGGCAAACACTTAGATTGAAGCAAGAAACAGAGGAAATGAACAGAAAAATGGGTATAAGGATTAAAATCAGATGTGAAAGTGTAAAGGGCTAACCGTGCCCAAGGGAAGAAAAAGGAAAGTGTTTGGCACCTTTGCAAGGGGAGAAAACAACAGACTCTGAGGTTTTTTTTCCTCTTTGTGTGGAGGAAACCAGCTCAAAAGGGGCTATAATGTAACAGTTAGACGTGGGTTATGGCTGTCAGGCTGCGTGAATTTAGCTATTAGATTTAGACAATGGGGCTTTTCCACGGTTTTATCTTATCAAATCTGAAGCTCTGTAATCGGCCGAATTTGTGGAAACCCTGATGATGGGTTGGGCTCATACCAAAACCAATGGCCTGGTATAGAGGACTGTGATGATGATTATGCTCTAGGTTTCTTACGATGTTTTTGGATTTAGGAAGTTCTAAAGTTTAGTTTTATGAAAAATTAAAATGCTTGTTATCGTTTTTAGGAGTATGAATAATATATTAGTATTTATAAGTTAAATAAAATTTGAATTTAATTTAATTATAATTGAGTTGAGTTTGAATAATTTGATTTATCGATCGAATCAAATTCAAATATTTTTATATTCGACTCAAGTAACTCATAAATCTAATAAAATTTTTATATTTTAATATATTTTTATTATTTTAATTAATAAATTATTTCAAATTCGAGCTCGAGTTTGAGTACAAATAATTAAACTTTTATTAAATATAAGAATCGAACTTATTTTTTCATATTAATCGAGTCTAATCGAACGAATTCATGTAGCTCAATTTTTATTTTAAGTTGAGCTCAAACTAAAAAAAAAAAAAACTTGATCAAATTCGAACTAAATTTCAAATCCTGAATTTCAAGATAAGCTTAAGCTCGAATTTAATATTAAATCGATTTGAATTCGATCAATTATACATGTATCTATACTATCACAAAAATAAGAATAATGATATTTTAAAAATAAATAATATATTCGAAATAAATAAAATAATGAATGTTGATTTGTATTTTTTTTTGTGTAATGTATGATTTTTAGTAGTTTTTCTCCATAATACTATGAGTTGTAATATATATATATATATATATATATATAATATGCATACAAAATTTTTTTACTTGAAGTAAATATTAGAGATGTTTATGAATCAGCTGAGTTGAGTTTAAATTAGGCTCATATTTTGTATTAATGGCTTATATATTTGTTTAGAACAAGCTTAGCTTAACATTTTGAGCCTCAAAATTTTTTTAAACCTAATCCAAATTAAAAAAAAATAAATCTCAAACCCATCCATTAAATTTATTTTATATAATAAAAAATTAAAAAATGTGATTAAATTAAGTTTAATGGGATTATATTCAATTCACATACATATAAAAATTAAAAATTAAAATTATATATGTTTTATTAAACTTAATTTTTACTTTATATAATTCTTATTTTTAATATATATATAATTTTAATTTTTAATTTTTATATATATGAATTACTTTATATACAATTCACACGTATATATAAATAAAAAATTTATATATATGAAAATTTAGACCAACCTAGTCGGGTTTAGATTTTAAATATTTTATTCAAGACCTAGCCTAAAATTTAAATGGGTCAAAAATTGTTACTAAATCCGTTTAACGAGTTTTAATTATTTTTTTATCTAAACCCTCTCAAAAAGTGGGTATGCACTTCAAGCTTGGGTATGTAGCTTAGTCCTAAAATAGGTCTAATAAAAATTTATGGAACAATAAACATAATTATCATTTTGAAAAAAATTGAAAATCGAAGAAAAAGACAACATTAGAATTAAACATTGATAAAATAAGTTATGAGTAAAACACATTAAGAACTTTTCAAAATGGATCCATTCAAAGTTAATGATTTTATCTCCATTGATATGAATTTTATTATTTCTCTCACCTATTTAATTTGATAAAAAAACATCATTTTATTTTAAAATATAAATTCTTTTCCATTATTTTTAGTTTTAGAATTATTATTTTTAAGTAATTTTTTAGCCATTGGCCTTATATATTTATAAGAAAATTAATCATTTTAAATTTTGTATTATCAATTTAATTATTTATGCTAAAATTATATATTCTTACGATTATTTTTACATTTCTTTAAGTTTAGAATGATCATAACTATTTTTTGGAGTTTGGATATTACGACACTTATAATTTATTTTATATAAATTAATATAAATTTATTATTCCTCTAACATATTTACATTAATAATTTTTTTTTAATTTTGAAATATAAATTCTTTTATTTTTTTTACCTTGAAAGTATTTTTCAATCATTGTGCTTATGTATTTAAAGAAAAATATAATTACTTTAGATTTTAGGTTACTAACTTAATTTATTCTTACCAATTTAAATTAAATTTTTTGTTACTTGAAAAAACATAATTTATTTCCAACTTTTAAATTATGTTACTAACTTAATTTTTATATTTAAATAATACATTCTTACGTTTATTCTTATTCTACATTATGTTTAAAATTTTTATAACTCTTTTTTAAAATATTACGATATTTTAATTTATTTTATGCCAATCGATACACATTTTATTATTTCTACCACCAATAATAATTTTTTTATTATATTTTTATTTTAAAATATCTTTTATTTTATATTATCTCTTTTTAACCTTAAAAATATTTTAAATATTTTTTTTGCCACTGGCATTATATCTTTATAGATAAAATAATTACTTTCAATTTACTTTATCATCTTAATTATTTATATTAAAATAATATATTCTTACACTTATTCTTTCTTCTATTACATAAAAAATTTTTATAGATTTTTTAAGAATGATACAACACTTTTAACCTATTTTGTGTCAATTGATACAAATTTGATTAGTCTTCTTACATGTTTACATTAAAAAAATTTTGAAATTTTATTTTAAAATATCATATTTTGCATTTTCTTTTTGTCTTAAAAGTATATTTTTTAGTTATTAGCATTATATATTTATAGAAAAATAATTATTTCAAATTTTAAATTGCTTAATTCTTTACTTTAAAATAATATATTCTTACTCTTATTCTTATTTTTTATTACATTTAAAAATTTCATAACTCTTTTTTAAGATTTTATGACACATACATGCAATTTTATGTTAATTGATTCAAATTTTTATTATTCTTATAATGTATTTATGATAACAAATTTTTGAATTTTTTATTTTCAAATATTATTTTTAACTTAATCTTTTTTTTCATCCATTAAATATTTTTTTTAGCAATTAGCTTATCTCTTTATGAGAAATTAATTAATTTAAATTTTATGTTTCCAACTTTATTATTTATATTAAAATAATATTTTTTATACTTACCTTCTATTGTGTTTAAAATTTTCATAAATCTTTTTTAAAGTATTATGACACTTTTAATCTTTTTTATACTAATTGATATTAATTTTTATTATTCTTATTATATGTCTATGTCTGTAATATTTTTTATTAAATATTAATTTTTTAACAATTTTTTTTTTGCTTTAAAGTATTTTTTTAACCATTGAGCTTATCTATTTATGAGAAAAATTATTTATTTAAATGTTACATTGTCTATTTATTTATTTAGGTTAAAAAATTTTCTTATAAATATATAACATTAGTGCCTAAAATTTTTTTTCCTATAAATATATAACATTAAAATAAATTTAAAATATCCTAACTTTCGAAGAAAGAGTTACAAAAATTTTAAATATGATGGAAGGTAAAAATATAAAAAAAAAGTTATTTTAACGTCTCTAAACCCAAGCCCTAGAATCACAATTTATCAATACAACAATCTAATTTAAGAAAAAATATGTTAATTAATATCGTGTATCTTTCAATCTAACCATTTATTCTTTTCCCTTTTACTTCTACCAATACAAAATACTTATAAATCATATCTATTTTGCAAAAGATTCATAATCAAGATTTATTTATTAATAACATACCATATAATCAAATTCGTTAATTTCACAAACTTAATGATAGTTTAATAAGTAATTGCATAATAAAAGTTGGTAATACTTTAAATGCATTTTTTACACAAGTTGGATAGGTAAATCATGCATAATTATGCCGAATTTGTATCATTTTAATTAAAGCTTGAGATAAATACTTATGGTTGCATCGTTGCCTTTTCCTTGATAGTGAATTATTATAGACTCATTTTGGGCTTTGAATAAGCTAATAAAGATTTATTCCAATCTAACTTATGAAGCCAAGAAACAAAGAAACCAATTCTATGGTAATTAGGGACAATGACACCATTCTCTTTCCTTGTCATTCAGATCTTTGTTGAAATCAACAAGCGTTTTCTTAATTCTTGACCAGTGCCTGAAACAAAAATGGTTGAAGCTGCCATCAGTGCTACCGTAGATGTGGCTCTATCCAAGGTTATCTTATTCATTGAAGGACACATCGACCTCGCATGCGATTTTGAGGACGACCTGAACCAGCTCTATGCCTCCGTTGCTCTAACATTAGCTTTTTTGCAAGATGCAGAGGGGCGACAACTTGATGAGCCTGTCAAAGCTTGGTTGGTAGAGCTCAGAGGTATTGCTACTAAGGCGGATGATGCATTGGATGAGTTTGCTTAAGAACATATTCGAATTAAGGTGGACACCCGAAAGAGAACACAGGGCAGCAACTACTTTTCCCTCTTCAAAATTCCCATGACATTGACTCCAAATATGGCTAAAAATGTTAAGAATATTAACATATCCCTGGATAGAATTATTGATCGGGCCTTCAAACTTGGGCTCCAACAAAGAGTTCAAAATGCGGCTCCAGTATTTAGTGGAGTAGGAATCACTGACTCCTTCGGTGACTCATCACGAGTTGTTGGAAGGGAAGCTGATGTTTCAAGAATAGTTGATCTGTTGATTGGCTCAAGCACTCAATAAACTTTCTCATTAGTATCCATAGTAGGTATCGCGGGCTCGGGGAAAACTACTTTAGCACAGTGTGTACGCAAAAATGACAAAGTAAAGAATTATTTTCATGAAATAATGTGGCTGTGTGTGGCTAAAAATTTTGATGTCTCTAGGATTTTACAGGAGATGTTAGAATCTCTAACTGGGAAAGCTTGTGACATGAAACATATGGATGCTATACTCCAGAAAATACAAAAAAACTCGGAAGGGAAAACCCACCTTCTCGTACTTGATGATGTGTGGAATGTAGATCGTAGCAAATGGGAGGTCTTAAGGGGTAATTTGCTGGGAATAAATGAAATAAAATTAGGAGTAGCATTCTTGTCACAACTCGTAATCAAAATGTTGCAGTGGTAATGGAAATACCTCATGAAAATAGTTATCCTCTTGAGCTACTGAAAGATGATGAGTGTTGGGCTATAATAAAATAAAAGCATTCCAAAACTCTTTAACATCTGTGGAATCGGAAGATATTGGGGAGGCTATCGGTAAAA